CTTTATATAAAATATTTTAAAAATTTTATGTAACCAAATATTTCACCGGTAATTTAATTATACCAAAAACTCATTGCGGTTTTCAAAAGAATTTGGAGACATCTGTTGCCCTTATGGATGAGACTGACGACATTTTTTGTGCTTTTGATAAGATTTCTATTCTTATTCTATTATTATTCATTTGATGCGGTAAATAATTCACTCCTAGTAAAAAAAAAAATAAAGTAAAATGTTATAGCTCTGATAATCCTTCTTATAAGTTGCTATTTAGACGCCAGGTTTCAGTCTATACAGTGTAATAATAATTTATCTGAAGTAGATATTAGATCTGAAATTGCACAAGGTTTCATTTTTTTTTATACTTTTTTATACTTCGGATATTCTTAAGTCACTGCGATACTGTAAAATCAAGGCAGTCGCTGATGAAACTCAAGTTTATTTTTCTTTTGATAAGGAAGATTTCTTAAAGACTATTAAATTTATTAATGAGTACTTACAAATCCTAAGTAATTATTCTAAAAAACACTACTTGAAACTTAATCCTGAGAAAACCCATTTTATAATTTTTGGGAGCAAGAATAAAGTGGATTTTCTGATGAGACAAAAAACTTGGGAAAAGTAATCAATAATAATCAAGGATTTATACATGACTTAAGAAAGTGTGCTGGTGTATTTCATCTATACACTGACTTGCAATGGCATAGCATAAATTTTAGACGTGTATAACATTCTTTTTAATATAAAATTATTAAAAAGGAAATACTCCGCCGATTCACTCGGAGAAAGATTGGTTTTTCGTCATAATGTCCAAATGAGGCATAGAAATAAATTGTGTAGGCCCCTGTTAGTGCTCTACACTCAGAAGGGAGTGTAGAGCAGAGTCAGTCTAAGCAGCTCCCGGGTCCGAGGGAGGGCGGGCCTTTCCATTATAAGCCTCGCCTGTACCTTTGTATTGCATATATTATATTGTTTAATTTCAGGAAACAGAAATATCTACCCACAAGCAATTTTTTGAATATTTCGATTTGGTTAATGGTTATTTGATACACAAATCGCTTACTTTTGTATGATTTAAAAAAAAAAACAACATTTATTATTGTTATTTCATATATATAATACCTGAACATATTTGATTAACCTTGAAATCCGGCGGTGTTGCCAATATCCTGAGGCGGGACATACCGCTGGATGTAAGGAGGTAACTTCTACCTACATATATCAAGTTTGTATATATGTATAAAACAGGTCCACCTTCTTGTGGAAAGTTCATGTATAAATGTGTTGTATAAATCAAGATGTATATAGTCATTTCTGCCTCTTAAAAAATTTTTGTAGGACAGTAGAACGCACCTTAGTTAACTCAAACACGATAAAATACAGGCAAAACGCTTTCGCCGGTGTGTATAAGCCCTTAATGCATATAGAGGAATATTACGAAAGTTTTTGCTTGTCCACTACATTTCAAACACTCTGTTATAATATAATATTTTAAAAGTACAAATAAATCCAAAGAAATTTTGTTTTTAAGTTTTTTTTTATACTTTTATCAGATTCTGAGAAAAGGCATCATCTCATAATAAATGAACCAGCCAACACATAACAATGCTACAAAATATAATTGAACTTTACAAATGAACCATTTCCGGCCAAAATTATTTTGGTGCCTAACAAATAGTCGAATTTTTACTATTAAACTAACTGAATAATAATAATTCATTTGTCTTGCTTTACTTAACAAACGAAAACACTTAGTAAATATTATATTATTATGAAAAAATATATTTTGGTGTCCAACATTTGTCGATTTTTTATAATACAAAAAAGTTTATCGCACAATATATAGAAATTCACACCAGAGTATTTCCAAAAGCAAACTTTATTATTCATTAGTATCAGTAAAAAAAATGCTTTATCAACATTGTATTATGAGAACGTTATACTTGTGCCACCTGGTGAAAATTGTTCCTTTACCAAAATTTCGGTCATGCTATAACTACATTAAAAATTTTAACACCAATTTTACATATATTTTTGTTTTTTAAAAATTCGTCTTCTCTTTCTCTTAATCTAAAAAGGCGTCTAGGATAGCTAGGGGATTCCGTTTGTTAGGCGCAGTTTTTAATAATTTTTGGATGACACCCAAATTTTATTATTTAACAGCATTTCATCTTGAAATTTTTATATTTTATAAAAAATAGATGCGAATGCCAATGTACCTAATTCGTAGCTGTAAATTCGTGGCTAGCTTCAAAAATTATTGTCTTGTACTTTAGAAAATTTTTGCGTATATTCCGTAGCTCGCGCGTGTAATCTAAACTATAATCATGGAGATTACAATCTATTAGTATAATAAACGGTATGGATGGAAAAACATCTTCGGTGAATCACAAATTTTCCGCATTGTCCGCGTTCCAGCCGGCAGTCGTAAATTAAAGCAGTTAATTTGTTTTTGGCGGGAAAGGTTGCATCTAATAGCTAACTTGCATTTGTAAATCGTGATTTATATTCCAGAGGGAGCTTAGCCTTGTATAACGTAAGCATCGTTGAATTTTTCTCCTGAGAGTTGTTTTCATTAGGCTACAAATCATTTTGCTCCAATGAGGATTTTATTTGTGGTAACTGTAGGTGCGTTGCGGTCATCATAAAATGTTACACATTATTGTTCTATTTTATTTTGCAAATTTACAGGTCTATTGGAATTAAGGATTTAGTAGTTGTTTTCGATTTCTTTTTATCTTCATAGTTGTTTAATTGTAAGCGAAATGATTAGAGTGCATGAAATATATGTATTTATATCAACACTCATTCGTTAGAATACCAAAATTTAGTAATATGATTTCATTTTGAAACTGAATTGAACGCTGGTTCTTTTTGGTGGTTCGTAATTGTTGCGCCAGAATGCAATCCTAGATTAAACTGGTGAAAATAATGGTATTGAGCCAAATATGTCTAATAAATAAAATAAAATGAATAATTAAAATAAAAAATAGAGGAGTTTCTTTTAAATGATCTTTAAAATTTCAAATGATTGTAGCTCAGTTACAATAGCGTTCCTGGTATTTATTCATTTGACATTTTAAATTTGAAATCACCCTGGGGACACCCTGTATAGCGATAAAACACTGATGCGAGATAATTGCATGATAATATTTCATTCCAAATCAAACTTGTGACTCAAAAAGGGTTCATTAAGAATGGATTACAAATCAGCACATCCACTTCAAGTGGTTAATATGCCCAGGTCTAATAAATATGCAAATAATGAAAATATGTATTAGTAAAATATCGCGTATTGAAAAACGGGGTTGCTCATTGTTTCACACCGTAATGCTCAAATCATGTTTTGAATAAAAGTTATTTATTATTTATTATTATTGTTACCCAAGAATCGCTCAAAAAACTGTTACTGTAATATATTAATGATTTTACAAAAGTAGTCAGGATTTCGTAAAACTGGACATCTCTACGTACCTTAATACAGAGTGGCACAATAAAATGCCAATCCTTATGAATGTGATCCCTTGGATGATTTTAAGGGAAACATGTTATATCAATGTAGGTCCACAATGGCTGTGTTTTTCATACACTCTGCTTTAGATATTTCACAATGAGTAAAAGATATTTTGAATTAATGTTTTTATAAAAAAAAGGTAGGTAATTTTTTTTAAAAAAATAAATTACATTTTTAAAATCGCGATTTATTTACTAAATTACTATGAACGATATAAAATCAAACTTGAAAACACCAAACAGAAATACTTGTATATAAAAATACATTTCATTGTACACGATTGTGAAAAAATTTAAGAAGGTATAATGGTAAGTGAAAAAAAACTAAATCAACTAAAAAGGACTCTCTAGTAAGTTAGGAAAAAGGTGATAAGATTTTTTTTTGGTAGATATAAATTAATATTCAAAATTAACGTTCCACTATAATTTTTTATAATTAGTTTTTTCTTTAGCGTTAGTATAATTAAAGATAATTAACCAATATTGCACCAGAAAACATTTAAGTTCGAAGAATTAAAAAAAAATTGGCGTACAAATATTTAAAAATTACAGAAATCTACTTAATTTTACAAATCAGGAGAAAAAAAACACTTTACATTCGCTCGCACTCTTGCATGCTAGTTCTAATTAAGTCAAGTACATGACGCCGAACTTAGCTTTTTAGAACACCCCAAATTCCAATAAATCCGCATTTAGGTCTGGACTGCGTGGTGGTCCCTAAACGATCTCGATGTTGATTTCATTTTAGCAGTCCAGGTCTTTGATATAAATGGTGCAAACGTATTACGTCTGTAAACAGAACTCTTTTCCAATCATGCACAATCTAGTGTGTATGATCTCTAGATAACCTTAATCTGCGTGATTTGTGATCTGAAGTAAATAGGGGTGCAGTAGCACTCCTTCTGCTAGGCAACTATTACTAGTTATTCTTTTAAACGCCTCCTGACGATCGAGGCATAAATCCTAATATTTGTAGCAGTTTCGAGTTGATTACTTAGCTCTCTACAAGTATATTTTCCATTTCGTGATACCTTGCAGCACTTTTTCTACCCGACCACTTTTTGTACGATGTTCCGATTTCCCTAATTCCTCTAACCATTGAACAATGACACCTAGTAGTATAACCCCATAAAAAAGAACCACCAATCAAACAGCAGTAATTTCAAATAATGCACTTATCAAACTGCAAAAATATACGTAAACGGTATACTTAACCTAATTAACATAATTAAATGACCTAAAGTTATAAAAACAGTACAAAACTAACAAAAATAACTACTTGATATACGCCCACGAAGATTTCTAACAGTAATTGGTAATATTTAGATGATAACTTTTTAAATAATAACATATAACTCAGAAAAAGTAAAAGTTAAAAATTAATATTTCTTGACCAAGCAGATTGGTTCTAAAAAAGCGTATTGGATCTTAGTTTTTGATTTCAACTGATACTCCTACTTACACAATGTAATTATTTTGTTTTGTTTCAGGTTATAAAATGGCTCAAGTATTCCATTTCGTTTACGAAGGGTATAAAGACTTAATGGACAATAAAAGTGGTAAGTTTCTGTGTTTTTTTCCAAGAATGATATTTGAATGTTTATATTAAAACCTTTTTCATAAATTAATTCAAAAACGTCTCTCACTTTTGACCGAGCTTAATTAAACTCTAAAAATAGTGCGAAGTTGCGAACGAGCGTCTGCGAAAGTCTGCGTGTGCGTTATTTTTCGCCTTTGACATCACAAACATTTCCATTATGACAACTTGGTTTGTTAGCGAAAAACGTGTAAAAGCAAAATTTTAGTGGAAAACAAGCTGTTGTTTTTTTGATCAATTTATTTTCATTGTGGCAATATTTTTCATTTTTTATTGACGTTTTTTTTAGAAAAAAATGAAAATTTTATTTGACTCGAATATTATTAATTTTAAACAAAAAATATCGCATCGATTAGTCTTCAATTTTTTCTATCAATAAGTCTCATAGAACATATTCAATTCAGTTTTTATGCAGTTTAAAAATGCAATTCAAAGCAATCAAATAAATTTGCAAAGTCATATCATTATTTCGGAAAGATGGGGGAGTCATGTAAAATTCTTGGTGATATTGTGGGTGAATCACTAGGTTAAACTTTCGGCTTGTTTTTGCCATTTGTTTTTGCAAATAAATTGCCTTGCTATGGAAATACGGTCAATTCTTTATTTTAAAATTAGAATTAGAGTCACAGATACTGCATCAAGTAATAACTTACAAAGAGTATGATGAATACTAGAAGTGTGCAAAAAGGAATTTTAAAGTTTGAAAAAAAAGATTTTCTTTGAAATTTATAACAGGTTAGCGTTTAGTGTAACTGTTTGAAAGGTACTACAAATGTAATGAATTTATTCATTTGCACTCATTAAACTAGAAAACTCTTTTTTGTTTACATTTTTTTAATGCTTTTGCCTAAAAGCTTCATTATTAAAACGATCATATTTCCATAGTAACTCCGCGTATCAAAAAAAAACTGCCAATCTTTTCTAAATTCTTCATGAAAAATGAAAAATGTTGGCTGCGTTGTGAGTCTTTGCTATCTACAAATCGATCAGCGTCAAAGAAGTTGTTATCTACCGATCAGTTTATTTTGCTTGTCTTTGTAACTGATTTAAAACTTCTCAATTGGCAATAAAGTAAAATATTATTAAAAAAAAATAATTTGCCATACATTTGTAAATAGCTAGGCATTTAAAAACTGTTATGATGAAATCGCATTTGAATAAACCTTTGAAGGAATTGCGGCAATCATAAATTAAGCTACGTAACCATCTCATATTTAAAAACTGGGCAACAACACAATATAGCAAATAAATCTTAATCAAAATTGCTTAATATTATTGGAAATGTCAGCATAGCCATCGATCCTTGCGGTTTTACCTACTATTTTTCATTCGGTATAATGATATTGGACAATTATATTTTAATTTTGTGCGTTTAGCACCTTCAATAGTTTGTGTTATTGCCAAATTACCCAGGAGCTTTTAATAGCTTCGTGAGTGGACAATTGCTTAATTTATGGCTGAACGCAGCATTATAAATATTATGAATACCCAAATTCTCTGAGTGCGTTTCTTTTTTGCGAAACAAATTGTCTTTAATTTTTCTTTGATCTTCTAAAGAGATGTGCTGGGACAAAAAGTAATGTGGAATTTGTAGAATACTGGAGGTTTTAAATTTTTAATTTAATTTTTTTAAAATTTGGATCTGAACAAGTTATCCCTCCCTCTCCAGACATGTTTCTTCCCCTCTTTACCAAAACTATTTCCGTTCACTCTAACGAATAGGAATACCAGAAATGCGACTTAAACGACCATAGACTTTTTTCAACACCAAAAAATGCATTACTGTTATACAAAACCTTCCTGCTGATCTCTGTACATAGTTTATGCCATTCGTTTTTGTTTCTTTGTTGATTAAGTTGAGACTGATTAGTGTGAATGTTTACATAATCTTCTTATGTGAATTGTTATGTAATTTTCTGGTCACCGTTTGAGTTCGGCTGTACTGTTCATCAAATAAATAAATGAAAGTAATTGATCACTTTATATGATCAATCAAAAAAATTTAATTAAATTCTTTATACCCATTTTAACTCCAATTTTTCTTTTAATCTTGTTTTGAAACATATCTACAGGCGATTGATTATATGCATACGAATTGGGCAAAATTTTACAAAAACGCACATTTTATTGGCAGATATTTACATATTTATTCATTTCACGTTGACGTAGCTTCGACTCATTTGAAGACTGTAATTTGTAAGTTTATATTGTGTAATGTAGAAGTAGTACGTAATAGTAGAAGATTTTCCGGCTTATTTTTTGGGTACAGAATGATTCGTGAAAGACTTTCTGCCATGAATTGTTAGTTTCTGCTTTAGATGTCTCCAAAAATTCAAATCTAGCAACGTTTTTTTACATAAATATTTAATATAATATAATATCATATACAGAGTAGGCTATAATATGCTAATGACGATTTGCCACTGCTTATAGTAGGAATTGATTTGCGCTGTTAAACTTCTAAACTCGGGTAAAACGGGGTACTCCTAAACATCATATCAAATTTGACACATTTCATGAATAACATTTCACATTCGCGTGTGTCCTAAAATATTTGGTCGGCCTCCTAAACTCTCTTTGCCAATTTGAATGAAACTAGACATAATTTTTAGAGTTAAGGCTGATCACATATTAATAGAAGTTGTTTATAAAATTCGTTAGTATGTTTTTTGATAAATTCATTTCTTAATTATTATTACTGGATATTTTTTCAAAACATCCATACAATAGTGGCATAACAAGTTTTGGCCTTGAAAATACTGTGTAATAATAAACTAGCCTTTTATTTTCTTTGCATATACATATTCATATTTTCCAAACTTCAAAAATCAGGTTTCGTAATTACGACAAAAATAGTTACGTAGGAAGACATTTTTTTCTAAAATTTCCCGATGATGAATTTTCCGTAGCAAATCCTAGGAAATACTATTCGTAGACCAAATGGTAAACATCAAAAATGATATTTCAAGATATCACGTTGTACATTGCAAAACATTAAGGAACTCTAATTAATCATTAGAAATCAATTGCGACACTTCAATTAAAATTAAATTAACTTTACCTCAAGAGGGAAAATATTTGCTTTATACGGTTGCTTTTAATTTGTAGTTACTGTGGTGGTGATTATGGTAAAAATTTATTTTAAAATAAATTACTTACGAATGTATAATTTGGTTTCAGATCAGCGAGTAAAAGATTGGTTTCTGATGAGCTCACCGTTTCCCACACTGTTCATGTGCCTGACCTACGTTTATATAGTCAAAGTATTGGGTCCCAAGCTCATGGAAAATCGGAAGCCAATGGAGTTGAAGAACGTCTTGATTGCATACAACTTAGTACAAGTAATATTCAGCGTATGGTTATTCTATGAGGTAAGTTTGCCTTAAATTACAACTTTATTAACAAAAAGTATTTCATTTCAGTTCGTCCGCATTTATTTAACTAATATACACATGGCACATAATAATGTTTCCATATTTGCAGGCGTCTGTCGCTGGATGGCTTAACCACTATAGCTACAAATGCCAGCCAGTGGACTATTCTACCTCACCTCTGGCAATGAGGGTGAGTACTTAAATACCATTTATAAAGTTGATGGATTAAACATAATTTGTAGTCGTAGAAAAATTACAACACTTTTAAAACATTGAACATTTAAACAATCGTGTGGCACGAGAATTTTTCAGAACTTGATACACTTTACTGTCTTTAGTTTTTTCGTACCTACGTATATTTTGTGACATATTTGATAATTTTAGATTGAAACTCTGTGTCTCGAAAAGTAGACTTATATAAATGAAATTCAAAGTCTTCTTCCACTAATATAATTTAAACTCCACCAGCAAAAGTATTCTTTATCGAGATTTTTGGCGTCATATCACCGCCTCCCCAGCGGCCAAACATTTTCCTATGCGTAATGTTTTCCTTTCTGTAGGAATTAATAATTGCAGCATAAATTCTTTTATTTAGATAACAATTTCCTACTTTGCGTCCCAAGCTTCATTGTCTCTGTCCCTAGGTTCTGAACTAGCAATAAAACAAGTTTAGTATAACTTATTTGAATAATTCCGAAGGATTCATAAAAGGTTTGCAGAAGTTGTTGTTTCTCAGTCATAACACTTCTACCAATTCGCTGCTATCACTATTATGCATTTATATCTATCCATCTATATATTTGCACTCTTTTTGGTTCTATCTGAACTGCTTTACTTGGATGTCAGTACATTCAGGCAAATCCAGTGATTTGCCTGACTAGTTTACCGCTATTTGCTGGGTTCTGCAGGTTCAAAATTAGACAGTAGGATTGTAGATAACATTGTTATGTATCCATCAATCATTGTTTTCAGTTTCAGTGATTACTACTAAAATATTCCTATTTGCCGTCCTTATCTGAGTACTTAAATGTGTCCAGTTTGTATAATGTAAACTTCTTCATACTGCAGAAAACTATTTTCTTCTGCAATAAATTTTGACTTTACACCAACCATTACCTTAGTCTGAATTATTTCTCGAAGTATTTGCACAACCGCTGCACCATAATCTACGACGGGATGTTTATCAACAGAACACAGCCGCAAATTGAGAACAGTACTGACGTCACAAGCGTTTCCGATTCTCATTTTTAATTTGCAATTATTTTGGTTCATAATTATTTTAAATTAATTTCATGATCTCCAGTCTTGATAGAAACGTTTATTGATTTTTATAAAATCTGAGACATATTGAAACCTGCGTTTATGTTAGTGCCGATTACATTTATATTAATCAGTATTTTGGGAATGGAATTTCTCACTTATTTAAGGGGCGATAAAATGTATAAAGTTCACGATACTTTCTTAAAATAATAAAAAAAATCTCTTTCTAGATGGCACGAGGATGTTGGTGGTACTACTTTTCCAAGTTTACCGAATTTCTCGACACGGTAAGTTGACAATAAACTAAGTAGAATCGTAAATTTTTAAAAGATCGCGGAAAAATAAAAAAAAGTTAGGTCAACAGGACAAAATTAACCCTGTTACAAGGGTCGATTGGCAACAAATTATACTATTTTAAATAAATCTACTTCAATTTCACACCTCTGGCCTTTTTTTTTGTAGGATTGTTCTTATTTCCTTTTCTTGATTGCACAATTATAAGGTTTGGGAAACATTTAACTAATAATACAAATTCCTAACTGCTCTGTGCCAAATAAACGACGTAAACGAAACTGCCAAATAGCACATCGATTAATTAGTTACAGGATGACCAATTTTCACAGGAATTCATGGAGATAGAGGACGCATGGTGCAACTTTTTGTGTAGCCAAAGATGCCTCAAAAAATTGTCATAACCGCTTTAATTCTGAACTAGAGGATAATATTAAAAATATTGCATTTGCAATTTATCAAATGGCTGAAAACTAATCTTAGCAGGGCTTTTTACTCATCAATGTTTGGTTTTTTAAACGAAATTTGTCAAAAATATATTGTCTGTTGTAATAAATAATCACAAAAAACCACAATTTTGAAACTTCGCGTTCAAAATAGGTTCCAATATATTTTGATTATTATAAAACATATTTTATTTATTAAACACTGCGCCATTTAATCATTTGGTTAATTACCAATAATACCAAATTGGTATTGAGTATTGATTTATCATTGAATTATCCTGTATATTATTGTATGATGCAAGGTTTGATAAATAATCTGAGATCGGGTAGAAGAATCTTCTTGGATATTCAGATAAAAAATAAACAATTATATTAAACTATGCTAAAAAGCCAACTAAATATTTACAAAGTCTACAATTCAATACTTTGATTACCTAATATAAACCAACACATTCAATAATAATATATATTTTTAAAGATTTAATTTTCCGACGAAATAACAAATATACCAATGTCACAACAATGTGTTATTAAGCGCTTTGGACTTTTGTCGGTGCTTATTAAGACAAACCTATACTGCAACCTATTTTTGAGAAGTTTATAAAAAGGCAAATTAATTTCTTTTCCCATTTAAAAAACACCAAACGTCAGTGAATATTCCAAAATGAATAAAATTTAGAAAAAAAACTTCATTGGATTATACGTCCAAAGGTCTGTTATGATTAGCTTGCGCCTATTTAATAAGCTTTCAGTCAACTGATTCGCAAAGTGCTAGAAAATGCAATGGCGTAAAATTCCGTAATAAGAAAATACTCCTAGCCATTTTAATGCTGGAAAGTTATCGATCTTATAAATACAATATTTAATAAGGCCACGGCTTTTTATTTTTCGGATAAAAAGTATCAAATAACGTTTTTAAGAAAATAATTATACCGTATATTAATTTTAGATTTATATGAACGTCAAAAAATACATCTCACCTGCGTAAATCAATATGAAACAGAATGAAAATATTCGATACGGGTTTCAAAACATCTAGTTACAGTTTAACTTTAACGATCCGTACAGAACTTTCACTGTGAGAAAAACAAGTGTTATAAATAGATATCTATACAAAAAATCTCAAATAATTGCCAGCTTACGATTTATTATCCTTGTTAGTGTTGAGTTTATTATTGATTTAAAAAAGCAACTATATATTTACAAAAAACGAAAAAGATTCAAAGCACAATCCCACTCTTTATTCTGAGTTAAGTTTGACTTTATAATGAAAATCAATTTAAAGAAAAAGATAAATAAGAAAATTAAACGAGAAAAATGCGCCATATATGAATAATATTCCAACACCACTGTGTTAATAAAAATATCAAGCTCAAGTGGCCACTGAATGTCGCGACTTAAATCATTTGGATTCGCCTACTTTGTTTCCCAAAACCTGAGCGACTTATTTTCTTTAACCAGATACAAAAATGTAGACTACGTCGACTACAATTACGCTATAGAAATAGAAACCATCTGTCTGGAATAAAAACTTGATAATAATATAAAAATAAGATAGAATATAAGAAAAAATGCTTATCAACTAACCTAACCTAACAACGTACAGTTCATATATATTCATTTATTTTTCCCATCCTTATCTTTTTCTTTTTGTCCACACAAACTTGCAGTAAAGCAAGCTCTATGTACAGATCATCTTTTACATGAACGTCTCTCACTACCGTTTTGTGCACTTTTTTTAGTGCTCACTTTTAATGTAGTTATACTTAAATGATTTATTATTATTAAAACTTATTTCGTAGTTTATTAAATTTTATGTCATATTCTTCAACCTTCAACCAATTATATTTTCTACTTTGGGCAGTGGTAAAATGTTATATGTTTCGTTATTGCTAAATTTCATATATTTGCGCTGCAAATTTCTGTAGTGTTAATTTAAGCTCCCAAGTGTGTTATTTTCTTGTAGTTTATTTAAATGTATTTTACATACAGCACCCTATGCTATTATGTCCTACCTAGCACAGCTATAACAAATACCATCACTGTTACAAGATTAGTGCTTGAGACAATTTTGCAAAAGCTTGCAAGTACGTTATATTTTTACTTTTTTGCTGTATTAATTATATTTAGTTACACATTCTCAATCAATGATGGAATACCATTAGAATAATTACAAAAGGTGAAGCATACGGTTTTGTCAATAGTTAGTGAAAGTACATTTGCGTCTAAAACTCCTTTATTTTTTCTATAACAATTGTGGTTTATTTTGCAAACTATTCCAAGATTTGTCGAGAAATATTACTATACTTTTAATTTCGTTAGCAATTGTTTTTTGCTTTTTATATAGCTCTATAACAAGTTTAGAGAAATAACCGTTTCAACTTTAGAATGCATTAATTCTTCGAAAACCTTAGCCAAGTTAGCGAGCAGTAATATCGGCCTCTAATTGCCTGGATTAACTTTATCTCGTGCTTTAAAAATAGGTACTGCTCCTACAAACTTAAGAGCACTTTAGAAAAGCTTACTAAAAGATATTTTAGAACTCTCAAAAACTCAATGTGTTCACTCAGTTTTTCATTAGTTACACCATGCATTCCATCAATGTCCTTATTTTTTATTTCAAGTATGCGTATTCATCAACGTTAGTCGGTTCCAAAAACATGCTATGCTTTGGAAGTGTGCAGTAATGGAAAGTTTTTTCTATTCGGTTTTTTCCGCCAACTACTTCCTTAATCCAAAAATAATGATTCGCATAATTGGGCGCGTAATTTTGACCTACAATAAATTCACCATTTTGTGCATCTTTTATTTTACCTATTTTATAAGTTTTGCTCGTGCTTTTTTTGAAAAATTTATTATCCACAAATTCCCATATAGTTTTTTGAATGTTTTTACATTTTTATAATATTTCTTATTCATAATTTTCTTTGCTCCAATTTACGTGAAGCTAAATTAACTAAATTATTTTTTTTATAATATTGTTTGTCTTTTTTAGCTTTAACTTCCTTTTTTTTTGCAGTTTTTGTTTTTTATTGATTAGTAGTACAATATCATCGAAAGATTCTTTGGCTTTAATTTATTACTTTTGTAGATGGATCTACTAATTTCTTAATTTTATAATACTATCAAGTTAGTCGCTCCGTTTATCACCTGTAAAATAAATTTCAGTCCAGTTCACTAGAAAACTTAGGTATAATAGTTACTTGCAGTTTATTTTTTCCTTTTTTAATATTTTTTAAAACATGACTGGTTTAAGTTCAATTTTATCAGTAGTGATTAGAGATTGGATAATTTAAAACATTATCTTTGTCATTTTATGTTATCTTTAAATCTTTAAAGTCTTCTTTTTTTGTAACCATGGCTGCTTCAGATAGCACATATTTTTGCTTTATTATTCGTAAGGTTTAAAGTATAGTAAGAATGCTTCAAATCTATCAGAAGTGGGACTGATCCCGCGCTTGGATTAAACTCGACCCATTAATGTTTAATTTTTTTTTAAATGACGGAAGATAATGGTTACATTAACAAACGCTCATTGGGAGCAACTTATCATTAAGCATTGCGTTGCCGAAATGTAAGAATGAATTCTACCGCAATAATCCCGAGTAATAAGCCAAACAAAAAACAGTTAATGAGCGAGGTAAAAAATTGCAGGCAATTTAAAATTTTCCAAATAACAATTCAACTTGCTACACGGGGTTATTGGTGCGTGCGGTCGTGGACATTCTTTAGGTCTTGAGAAAGGTGTAGTTTTAGTCAGTGAACACCGCGCAAAATCGATGAGTAGGTACAGGGTGGTTCCTTTAACTACTGAGCGATGATAAAAGTTTCAAACAAATGGAAATACGAAAGTTTCTCTGTAGTTTCTCAAGTTATTGTATTACAGAGCGTTTAGTTCTTCACGGCCCAATACCAACTTTCTTATGGTAAATTCTTGCGTTTTGGTTAATCGGTTAGTCGGTTGGGTAGTAGCGTCGCAGTGTTGCCGCTTATATTGAACAGTAGCGCGAACTTTGAATTTTTAAATAATTCGTCCTGTACCTTGTACAAAATTGCCCTGTAAAGTTTTCGAAATGTTGAAAAAATTGACCTTTTAACACAAATTTCGTACATATAGTTTTTAACTGTATTCAAAATTCCATTCTTCTCAATATGCAAATATACGGCGCTAATTAGAATTTTAAATTAATTGCTTAATATCTCGAGTGTAGGTAGACCTATGATGTTCCATTGTTGCCTTTTACTTCATCATATGAATGGCAACATTGCTGTGTTGCATCTGTCAATATCGCTGCAAATTCCTATAGCCTGTTTTCCCAAAACACCCAACATTCCTTCGAAGTTTAGACACCCTATTTAATAACCAAGACGTTTAGACGTTTCGCGTTCAAAGGCGTTTAATTACAAAAACTGCCATAACGATGTCCTTTTGACTAATTTTAATATATGCCTAGGATTGTGAAATTAACAGGTCAAATTATTTTTGGGTCAATTGACCCGTCAATTAATCGAAATAATTTTAAAATTATAACTGACAACTAAATGGAGTCGATATTTTTATTGGGAAGTATGGTATTCGGGTATAACTTGAAGAGGGTTATAGGTAAAGTAGACATCGCCGACGCATAATAATTTACTATAAAAAAAATATTATTACGAAATAATGATAGATAACGCCCTACAATTGCGAGATGTTATTTAAAACATTTTGACAGCCCCAACACTATATATGGCAAAAAAATATTGCGTGCAATTTTAATTTAATTTTAATAATAATGGCATAATAAAAACTTTAAGCTTAAACTTTTATACAACTTTTTTAAGGTAGATCAAAAAAGTTGCTTGTAGCAATTATAAATAAAGCTAAATTTATGCTATGAAACCTATATTTCTAATCTTAAAAATACAAACAATGATTTCAGAAGTCCAAAATGACACTATAAATATGCTTCAGATGAGCGTTAACTAATCTAGTTTTTCATATCATGTCCACTCCAGTTTTGGTTAGTTCAGTCCTACACATGTCTTACAATCGGTACATATTTTTTTGATATAATATTAAATTCTTGGAACAGGCCATAAAACGTACACATGAGTTCGTCGAAACAATTTTATTACCTAAAGTCATATTATTTACATAAAATAAATGAGTACTTAATGGTTTGGACTAATAAGTAGATTCAATAAATAGTAATATTCATAACCAATTGAATAAAATGTCTAACTTATACAGGATATCTCATTACTGTGGGATTCTTTTTCAACTCTATAACTTTTTTATTAGTATACGTTATATAGGTCTCTCACGGATGATGAAACATTAGCTGGGAAACAGTGCAATTTGCTGAAAATTTGATTTTTATCTCGCAGTATTGCTGCTGGTATGGAAAACTTGTGTATTGTTCCATTTTTGGCTGAAACAAATCCAAATTTATATTTTTATTGCTGGGTTATTGTAATATTTAGAATGATGAAATTTCGGCTGCAATTTGCTTGTATCCTAAGTAATAGTTCTCTACAGACAAATAACTTTGCAATTAGCAGAGTGTTTACAAAATTATTATTTTGCTGTCTTACGCAAAAGTGGAAAAATCTTGTATTTTCAAATTTGATTTAATAATTAAATGAACTTGCAATTCATAATATCATGTTCCCATACCTAAATCATAAAGCTTTCGAAATGCAAAGACCTTTCTTTCAAAATCCAATTATTTTGCATATCTAAATGAGGTAGTCCTAGTTCGGTTTATTTATAAAAAATTGGCAATGGTCATCAGAAGTTTAAGATATTATAAAAATGGAATCCTGAAGATTTTTTAATCAACAGACCTTTATATACAGTGTGGTCAGATTAAAATACAAAGATGAAAAAATTTTAACTAAGAAAAGAGAAATTTAATTTTTCAAAGTAACTTCCACAGGCTACTGTAATACTTTTTAAAAAACTTCTGGATTCCTCCTGTGTCGGTTTTTGCTGGTCAAGAAACCCTAGTAGATTTTCTTAGACATTTAAACTCGATACACCCTAACATACGTTTTACTATTGAGTTGGAAGCTAATAATAACCTGCTATTCTTAGATATTCTTATCAATAGAAAATCAGAGCTATCATTGGGTCATTGTGTTTACAGAAAACCTACGCACACAGACCGATACCTTAATGCATGGTCACATCATCATCCGGCCCGAAAATCATCGGTTATCAACTCTCTTGTTTACAGAGCCGTAAAACTATCTTAGCCCGAGTCACTAAAAACAGAATTAAAATAACTTGCCCCTGCTCTTCTCTCTAATAATTTCCACATTAAAGATATTAAGCGTTCCATCAAAAAATACACTTCACCACAACCTTCCAGTAGCAATGAGGCCGAAAGCAATCCTACACTTGTCACTGTGGTCCTTTCTTACATTTAAAACATCACTGACCACATATCATCTGTCTTTCACCAATTTGGGAGACGTTGTTTATACCCCCCATTAGCGCCCCCCTCACACAATATATATGTAGGCACAGAGTAAAATACGAGCCAGTTTCAGTCAAGCTCTGAAGAAGCCGTGATTGGTGAAACGTCAGCAATTTCGACTCAACAAAAACCGACGCAGGAGGATCTTTTGTAAAAAGTAAAAGAGAAATTTATTTGAATAATCATCCATGTCAATTCTTTCTTCTTTACTTTTTGAATCCCATTATTATAATATAAATAGCACAGTATTTAATAATAAACGGGGTATTCATTTGCAAAATGATGTGCAGGGTCATCGACGAAGTTATTATTCTACAGAAAACTAGTACTTAAACTACTGACAAATTGAGCAACAGAGAAACTTATGTAGACTGTATAGAAATAAAGTATTTGAGAAGTTCTCATCTTTGAATGTTTCTTGGATGGTGGCCAGTCGCTATTTTATGTGCCATATTATTATGAATAAAATTAAAAATATTCCATATTTAATGTGGTTTTTCTCTGAATTTCCAGTTCTTCTTTGTTCTCCGAAAGAAGTTCGACCACGTGACGACTTTGCACGTGATCCATCACGGCATCATGCCCATGTCCGTTTGGTTTGGGGTCAAATTTACGCCGGGCGGCCATTCTACCTTTTTTGGATTCCTCAACACCTTCGTTCACATTATCATGTATTCGTATTACCTAGTCGCTGCGTTGGGCCCCCAGTACCAGAAATACCTATGGTGGAAAAAGTACCTCACCGCCATCCAAATGGTAAGGAAGATCAGATACTATAATTGTAATCAAATACCCCGTAGTAATGTAAATATCTGCGGAAATTATTCCTATTATTATTGTTTCAGATCCAGTTTGTGCTAGTTATGTTGCACGCGTTCCAGCTCCTGTTCATTGAATGTGACTATCCGAGGGCTTTCGTTTGGTGGATCGGAATGCACGCGGTGATGTTCTATTTCCTCTTCTCCAATTTCTACAAAGAGACGTACGTTAAGAAGGGAAAGAAGGAAAAAGTCGAAGTAAGTTTTGGTATCATATACAAGGTGTTTCAAACTCATGCGTCAACGCTTGACTGGAATCGTAATCCACAACAAAGGGAAACAAATCATATAATTGTAGGTCCGGAAGTGGTTACTTTCTAAGATACGAGTGTTTAATATTGGTAGTCTACATGCCGGCAATGGGGCTCATGGTGGTAATTTCCATTATTCATGTTTTAAAACTGGGTTAATTAAAGATAAAACCTACATAACTATACCGAAAAAAAAAAAAATTAACGATATTTGTCGTGTGGCGCTATTGATTATGAATATAATTTTTGTTAAACATTTGTTATTAATGTTTGATATTTTTCTTTGGCTGCTCGAAAGTATACAAATTATTAATTATTAATTATTAATATTAATAAAATTGTATGGGTAACTTTTAAATCATTAATCTGTAAATGTAAATGAAATAGATATATCATAATAAGCTAACCAAATATTATGACTAGTACTTCTTGTCCACTGTTATTCGTTTTCGAGAAAACAATTGAATATCTGAAATCGGAATTTTCTCAATTGGTTAAATTGAGTTAAAATCTATCGAAATAATTCGAGATTGAAGAGAACTGTTTGCATTTTTTAATCTTAGCTTATTATTAATTATTAAAGTGCATAAAAAAAACACTTTAATACGTTTATTACTTTATAGTGATATTTATAATTGTGTCACATTTAAAATGCACAACTACTACAACTATAACTTCTGTATAACTTGTTTATTTGTAATGTTTGAAATAAATAGGCTAAAAAGGAAATATTAAAATCAAATAATTTATCTTTCCTTAAATATTTTAGAGTCCACCTCTGATAGTCTAATTTTGGTAGCTTCAGGACATTGTACATCAAAACATACAACTTTTCTACTATTCAATTAATGATTTAAAAATTGCCAAAAGTTCATATTAACTTGGATCTGAAAGTTTTCAAATGTTCGATGGTGTTCGATATTTAAAAAGCATCGGCTTGATACAATTTGTTAAATTATTTAAAAATTGACAGATAACTTAATTTTAAAAAATTAATACTAAAGAAAATGATGAAAATGATCATCAATACCTTCATTGTACGACTTACGTTCATATGAATTTATTTTCTCTTTTTGAACTAGGAATCTCCAACTGAGCGTAGGTTGGTATTTTTGAAACGCCTTGAATACCCAAATACTCAGATATAAAATATACGGATTTTCCAAAAATAATTTGCAAAATTATTCCTCTAACAACTGTAAACCCCTAACTTTCTAAACTCTATTCAATATAGAAAAAATTTTGCATTTTTAGGGGACTCAGAACGGCAAATCAAACGGCTCGGCCCCGAAACTACCCATCGGCGTATGTTTTACCACGCAAACCGCCCTCTACGATCACCCGGATTCGAAAGTAACCAACGGATACTCCAAAGCGAACGGGAAGGAAAACGGATTCTCAGCCACAAACGGAGAAATGAAAATAAGGAGAAGAGCGTCGATAGAGAACGAACGATAGTGAAATGAGATTGGATCGATTTGAGTGCCAGAGAGACGTTTTAACGTGACATTTTTATCAAATTTTTAGTAATCGCATCACAAAGTGTATATATGTGTGTTCCGTGCAAACCTTCGCAGTGTTAACGCGTCACTTTTAATGGCCGATGAGCGCGGAATAATCAACGAGAATCAGCAACGATTGGGCTGTGATATTCGTCATCTTAATTGTCGCGTATACTCGATAAGTGACCATCAGGCACGACTTTCTACGTTTGTGCAATGAGGCGACTGCGCAATATTTGTTTCGATCATGTTGGTGAACTTGAACCATCTTCATTTACAGCGGCGTTTGACGGAAACGTTTATATTTATACAGGGTGCCCCTTTGTGGTGTATTCTGTCACAGGGTGGTAAAGTTTTCAAGCAAGAATCTTGTTTCATATTATCCAAAAAGCGATTCTAAATGTCCTTATGTAATTGAACGAAATCCTAAAAAACAAAAGGTGAGTTAGCATTGCAATGAATAAATTACACCTCTAAGTCAAATAATAACGTGTTTCCGACGTATTTCCAAAATCTTGTTAGAGTTTTGAGCACCTTCTATTAATTAAATCATCTTTCAATAATAAAAAAATAAAATAAAAAAAACAATACCTGATTAAATAACAATTGTCAGCCTAGCCATTTTTGACAAATAGCGGTTATTAATTCACTTGACATTTTTAAGGTTCCAAAATATAAGGCCATCAAAAATAGGTGGTTTTCATTTTAAAATATTAATAACGCTGCTATTTTTGCTTCTGGATTTTTGCTGAATGTGAAGAAAACTACTTAATTAAGTTAAAATAAAGCAAAAAAGTAATAAGCAAAATTAAAAAAAAACATTGTTTCGAAAATTTACGGCATTTATAAATTTTGAATTTATACTCTTTGAAATAGATTTTAAGCTTTTTTTATTTTAACGTTTATATGTTTAAAATTAGTTTTTAAATTTGGAAAAACATTTAGAATTCCTTGAAATTTGATTTAATTTTGGTTAGTTACATAGCTAGTGTACCATTTTTGGATGGTAATTTGGCCATCGTGCCATCTAATTAGATCTGTAACTTTAAAAATTATGTGTTACAGAATGTAGCACTTTTATATTTATTTTAATCGAGAACGAAGTGACTTTTACCTGAAAAATCAACGGCGCACAAATGCGAAATAATTCGCGAACAGGCGTCAATGTTGGACATAAAAACGGTGTTATGGAACGATCTTTTAATGCACAAATTAGGTAATATAACAAAAATAGATTTGTTCCTGGAAACTTTTGATTTTTTTTCTTAATATTGGCAATATTGACAGACCCCTTAAAGAACACCCTGTAGAAGGTATGTTCTTATATTCGATTGAAATTGGAATATATTTTTATTTTATTGGAATGTATTTATATTTTTACGTATTTGAAATCCCAGCTTGCAACCAGAAAAAGTCTTTGTTTAGGTCGGAGCGCTTCGAGATGTCAGGAAAAGACATAAAAATTTGATAATGTAACTCCGAAGGAAAGACACAAGAGATTCAGAAAAAATCTTTACTACACTACACTATTTCATTTATTTGTGTTAAATTTTCGCTAGCAACAAGTTTCTATGCTTGCGTTGATAATCGCAAGCACGAAACTGTTACGAACACCCATTCGCCGAGTTATAGAAAGACAGGTAAATAAACAAGGAGCGAAAACCTGACGTTTTTAAAAGAATGATCCCTATGACAATGAGGGTGACAATGGTTCATAAACCCCTTATCGGTAGGCTCTGTGATCCCTGGACTGTAGTTCAACGAGTGAGTTTTAGCTATTTTCAGTTATTTTTACGAATTGTTCTAAGTTAAAACTTACTATTACGGATCTAAAATTTAGAGAACTAAATAATTCAAAAGAAAACCATGGCATTTTTTTTTAACTTACGTGAAATCAGTCATCAACCATGGTGATCCCTCAGAATATATCAATTCAAAATATTCATAATATGCCTAACTCGTTTATGTGTTTACTTCGATTTCAGTCTCCACAATTTTGTTAGTTTTCGTGAATATTGCTTAATAAGTGTTTTACTGACGACAACAGGATATTTAGTGTGCAATGGGTTATTCCATTTATGGGAAAAATCTGAAGCTCTAACTTTTGAACAATTGAAAATAAACAGATAAACAGGTAAAAATTACATAATTTAGTAAAAGCTTATATAATCCAACTAGCATTATGGTAGTAATGAGAATTTACTAGCGATGACGTCACGCAGTAACCCCTAACGCCAAAACAAGAAATAAAATGACAATGAAGAAAACTTTTTATTTCGTTAGTTGCTGGAGGTTATTGACGTTACTTTCTGGAACCATGACCGCCGAAGCTCTCCCACAAAAATAATAAAGGAAGGGCCCTAGATTTCAAAATTTCGGTAGGTGTCGCTACTTTTTTTAACAGACGATGGTTCACTTTTAATTGAAGAGGAATTGTTAGTGCTCGCTTAAAAGATATAAATTCAAGACAATCAAATTTTAGTTGATTTAGTAGACGCGTCGTTTACTATTCTTTTTACAATCTTATGCCACATATCAAATCATTAATAATCGAACAAATATTGCCAGCATAACCGTAGAAAATGATCAGTCGAGCATTTTGCGCAGCAAAGAGTAAATTAGAATTTTTTAAATAAATTATACATTTCAAGCAACTGCTTGTAACGTTTTCATATATTCTTTAAATTCCTATAACATTTCAAACATCGGTTTTTCTTGGATTTTTTAATGATATATGATGTGGGTAACTATTGTAGTTATAAGACTAGAATTAGAACTTGAACTTTTGATATTTTTGTAATCTGGTGTATAATATTTATTTTGTGCAATAAACTGATTACGGCGTTCATGTTTGTTGATTATGCGGTGTATGAAGCCATTAGATTAGATATTTCTTCAGTGCGGAGCAAAATGACGTCACGCAGTCACCCCTAACGCCAAAACAAGAAATAAAATGACAATGAAGAAAACTTTTTTTTTACTGTTAATAACAAAATAAATATTTGATTATATTTGGTTAGCTAGTAAGAATAATTATGTTGTTACCGAGGTTTTACTTGCAATTCTAGGTTAACTAAATAATAAACAAATAGAAAAATTCTTCCACTCATGCATCGCCAGACTGTTGGGTGATGTGTGGATCAAAATCTTTTTAAAACATATTTTTACTTTATTTGCCCCAGAACCGAACGATAGAAAAATAACGCCCCTTGATCCAGTCCTTTTTTTCAATTTTTTCCATCTTTCTCCTGCTTTCTTTGAAGGTTAACATAAATATGACATATCTAATAAAATATTTCTTCCCTCGGCATAAAAAGAGGTTGCTCATTTCAAAATGGTGCTTTAAATTCCATCCCCTCTATGCAAAAATGTTCATAATGATATGTTATATTTACAATTTTTTAACATTCTTTGTCAATTTAACCTGAACTAGATACTTAAGTATTATATTATTATTATTATTATAGTATAATATTATTCACGATAATCACGACAGTATTATTATTAATTGTTTATTTGTTTCATGAATTTCAAAATTTTATGCAATAATTTGTATGGGTTTTAACACCCAAACATAGCCTTATGGCTAGTGTTTACGTTATTAATAAACATGTCTTCTTCAAAAAAGTTTTCATCTCATCAAGTCCAAAACGAATATTTTTGAAAGAAATTTTTTTGTCTAACAATCTTCTGATTCTTATTTCGTTAGTTGCTGGAGGTTATTGACGTTACTTTCTGGAACCATGACCACCGAAGCACTCCCACAAAAATATTAAAGGAAGGGCCCTAGATTTCAAAATTTCGGTAGGTGTCGCTACTTTTTTTAACAGATGGTGGTTCACTTTTAATTGAAGAGGAATTGTTAGTGCTCACTTAAAAGACATAAATTCAAGACAATCAAATTTTAGGTGATTTAGTAGACGCGTCGTTTACTATTCTTTTTACAATCTTGTGCCACATATCAAATCATTAATAATCGAACAAATATTGCCAGCATAACCGTAGAAAATGATCAGTCGAGCATTTTGCGCAGCAAAGAGTAAATTAGAATTTTGTAAATAAATTATACATTTCAAGCAATTGCTTGTAACGTTTTCATATATTCTTTAAATTCCTATAACATTTCAAACATCGGTTTTTCTTGGATTTTTTTATGATATATAATGTGGGTAACTATTGTAGTAGAATTAGAACTTGAACTTTTGATATTTTTGTAATCTGGTGTATAATATTTATTTTGTGCAATAAACTGATTACGGCGTTCATGTTTGTTGATTATGCGGTATATGAAGCCATTAGATTAGACTTCATATTTCTTCAGTGCGGAACAAAATGAAATGCTGCAGGTGAACAAAACCATATAATACTGGTGCAAATCCAAAAACATTTGAAAAATTTTTGCTAAATCGCCACGCTTCAGGAATGTATCTCACATGATAGCCCCTATCCCCTTTGATTGTGAATCTATTTAAATGGGTGTATTAGACTGTGCCAAATTATTCGAATTTTTTTTTTCTCGGTCCCATATAAAAATTTCGTTGATAATCATGAAAAAACATTTTTTTGCTTATTTTTTGTTTATTATTAATCAACCAAAATAAATGAAAAATAATCCTGGATATGGTTTTGTAGAGAATTAAATTCTCTACAACAATTATCTCTGATCGAGTCCAAAAGAACACCGTTTCGTCTACAGCTAATCAAATTTCAATTTTCTTTAAGATTTCTGTTTCATTTTTTTATGAACACTTACAAAAAAGTTTTTTAAAGCAAAAAACTGACTCATATAATTTTTTTTTATTATATTTAGGATCTAAATAATTAGTTTTCATGCATTATTTTTAGAATTATAGATTTTTTTTAAATTCCTAATTTTTTGACATTAAACATCATTTTTTATGTAAAACTTACTAAAATCAATGTTCATGGTATAAGTTCTACAATTCCATGAAGGTATGAATAATCATTGGTATTGTGGTGGTGCCAGTGGTAGAAAAAATTTATTTAAATTTTATACTTGTTTTCGAGAGTTACGTCTTTAAAAAAACATTGATGTTACTCAACTTATAAAGGAAAGTGATATGATCATCACATTAATTATTTTAAAATTAATTATAAGGAAAATAAAGTTATGCGCACAAATTTTGTTTACTATAGTTACAATATTTTGCAACTTGTAACAAAAGCTGTCTTTGTTCTTCATTATAAGTGAGACTATCATTAAACTTAACAAACCATGCTACAGCTCTTTCGGCTATGTCATTTACAACCTTAATTGATCGAACAATTTCTAAAGAAGCCTGATAATTGTCACCAAATTCCCATAGATCAGGTAAATCAAGATAACTTGTAGACAAACCGAATTTCTCAAATAAAATCATCGACTTCTTAGTAACAAAATCACTTATATCTTTCGCCCTGAATGTGGCTAAATCTTCTTGCTTTAAACAGAGCTTTCTAGTATTTTCTAGTATTTTCCGTCGTGCTGTCTTGATTTTTTATTGCTTGAAACATTTTTATCTTAATGGCTGATGGGATTCTTTCATCGAAAAATGATAATGCCACAAGATCTTCGGATAAATACTAGAGATGACGAAGAAATTTTGTTGATGCAGCATTTGAAAATTTTACGTCTACGTGTTTAAAATCTATCAAACTATTCAAAAACAAAAAATCCTGATACGGAGCGTAGACACTGATTGGTGCATTATACTTTTAACTTTTAATGTAAACATCATAAAAACTATAAAAATACAAAGTTGTGATAGTTTTGGAATTTCAACTTTGGCAAGTTTAAATTGACTTTGAAAACAATACATTTTTAAGCTAATAAAATTGATTAACAGAAAACTATAGATGAATTAGTTTTTTTAATTCAATTATTTTTTGGAGTTAAATGAATTTTATCTTCTAACATGCGATACGATCATCAATTAAAGCACGAAAACTATTTATTTAGATCCTAAATATAATAAAAAAACGTTTTTTCCTTAAAAAACTTTCTAGTAAGTGTTAATAAAAAAATGAAAACAAAAGCCTTGAAGAAGATTGAACTTTGATTAGCTGCAGACGAAATGGTGTTGATCTTTTGGATTCGACCAGAGAAAATTCTTATAGAGAATTTAATTCTCTACAAAACCACATCCAGGGTTATTTTTCATTTAATGTGTTTGATTAGTTATAAACAAAAAATTAGCAAAAAAAAATTCGAATAGTTTGGCACAGTCTAGGGTGTATATTCTATTTTAAACAAATTACCTGCAATTGGAATGGATAATGATACGGGTTTTTTATTTAAAACAATCTACTATTATACATATGTCCCGTTTGGGTTCTTTAATGACATCACCCTAACTACATAAAATGACAAATTAAGTATTATCTTTATAATAAAAACGTCATGTTTTGTGTAAATTACATTATAAAATGACTAACATGTCCAACCGCTTGAAATAACTATAGAATACCTCACAGAAAGTCACCGCTATTTGTTATGCGGAATTCGTATCTAAAATAAAATAACTCAGAAGCTACAAACTATATAATTTTTTTAATTTTTCATTTGGGGTAAACATCTGGTTCCTTATTTAAAATTATACATAAAATATATGTAGAATTTCCCCAGGAATTAAAACATTCAATGATGTACAAGATGTTCTATTAAAAATAAGAAACTGATATTTACGAAACACCCTGTATAAAAATAAAAAATAAAAAAATCTAGATGACACTATGCAACTTTTCTATTAAATCTTTTTTTCTCTCGTTCGTAGTTTCTGAGTTAAGGTAGTAAGAAGATTTTGCATGTCCTGTACAATTAATTTCAACGATTTGAGACTTTATTCGTACGTCACGTATTTACTAAAGTTTACGGATTTAAATTAAAAAACAAATTTCAGCGATTTTTTAAATACGTATTTCCATCAGATTATTTTTCAAAAATTCGATATTTTTCTAAGTATTAACAATGTAATGTAATATGAGTCCCTTTGTTTAAAATAAACATGACACGACGTTCGTATGAAGTGTTTTTCTTAAACTAAGCTCAAAAATGACCCCCCTTCAGTAATGGCACACCATAAGAGATATCCTTTATACAACAGTAAATTAGAACTATTACACATTTAGGTGAATGCGCTAGTTTTTATTATTTATAATAAATATATCCAACGAAACAAGAATTGAATTGCATATTCTGTTTTTTCCTGTTTTAACTTTAGTAAGGATTTGTTTTTTAAAATCATTTACAACAAAATACAAAAAAACATGGTTTTTAAGATGCCCAAAGAAAACAAATGCAGGGCCAAATAAAAAGAAATCTGACGATGGTCACGTTGTAATGTTTAGAATATAATAAATCTGAATCTATATTGGCATCTGGTTATTCTTTACAGCATACTTTCGCAAATAAACGGTTTGGAATGATTGAATGGAATAAAATTGGATTTGCCTGTCCATTGCGTAACGAAGAGCTTGGCAATAAACATGCTGTAAGTGTGCAATATAATGAAACGCAAACGTTTAAACAAATCAAGTTTTAAAAGATTACCAACGATACCAAACACACTATTCTAAAATTGGGACGCAATAATCCTCGGCTCACGTACTCACGAGGTTTGCGTTGTGGAAGAACACAAAGACTTACGAATAATCTTTGCCGAAGATTGACGCATCAGAGCTATTTCTGATGCTATACAAGACTTATATTCGACATAAGCTACAATATTCTCATGGCATCTGCAGTGCATACTCCCCACTCCCCAAGCCCACTAAACGACCTCCTTCATGGAAACACTTGCCATACGAAACTGGGCTTGAAAAACTAAACTTGACCACCCTGTACCAA